ATCCATCTGTGTACCATGCAATGGTGTGTTTAGCCATCGGATGCACTTCAGACAGTGTGGTCCAATCTTTCTTATTGCCTAGGTGTGCTGTGAAGTTCTGCTCGAAGATTAGTTCGGCTGTCATTTCATCCCTAGGGTGGAGTATTAGGGGCACCTCACCTAGCAAATTAGTCGCATCCCTGTTATTTAGAATGCAACCACTACCTGTGCCCTCAGTGCTTATTCTCAGGAGTGTAGCTTTGCGTTGGATATCAATCACATAGTGTGTTTTGCAGCGGACAGTCTCTGAGAGCTGTTCTTCTGATGTTGTAGTCTACCAGTTTTTCCAGCGTTTTGAGACAAAACGAAGTTAAGCTGATAGGTCTGAAGGACTTTGGGCTGGTGATGTCTTTCTTCCCGATCTTGGGGATGAAGACCACCCTAGCGCTGCACCATGCACTTGGGATATACCCAAGGGCTAGGCTGCTCACCAATAGTCTTCTTAGGCGGGTTAGGAGTAGTTCCTGCCCCTGCTGTAAGAAAGCTGGAGAGATCATGTCTAATCCCGGTGATTTAAATGGTTGGAAGGTTCCAATAGCCCATTTGAGTTTCTCGGGCGTAACTATAGATTTGGCTGTTGCCCAGTCACTGGCTACTGTCCTAGGGGTTCTATGTTGATCACGCCTTGCGTTTCCCATAGTGGGAGTATTCCCCGGGAAATGCGTGTCAAATAGCAATTCTAATTTCTCCCGATCCGTGGAGGTGAAGGTGTTATTCCCTTTCCTCAGGGCTAAATTACTATCCGCTGCACTTTTAGCCATTGCTTTTTGCAGTCTCGCGCCCTCGTTGACGTTACTTATTGCCTCACAGAAGTTCCTATAGTTTTTCCGTTTGGCCTTCCTGATCTCTTTGTTGTAGAGCGTCAGGCTTTGCCTGTATAGTTCCCAGTTTCTATCAGTTTTTGGTTTGTTGAAAAGCTTCCGAGTGGTTACTCGTAGTCGTTCAAGACTAGCATTCCACCATGGTGCGTCTGTTTCCCGCCTCTGTCTACCTAGAGGACAACTGTCTTCAAAGGCATTTACTATCTTGTGACCCAGGTTGTCTACCGCTCTGTCTAATTCCAAGGGATGTCTAGGGTATCCTGACGGTTCGTTGGAAAGATTGAGCTCTAGAGTTGACCTGAATTTGTCCCAGTTTGTTTTTCTGGGGTTTCTTTTAGGGCTACATCTTTTTGTTTTGAAGGCTACTTCAAACAAAATTGTCCTGTGGTCTGACATTGATTCTTCTGGTGACACATGCCAGTTCTTAATGTGGGGTTTAAAAGAGTTGGTTACTAGAGTTATGTCTAGCACCTCTTCTCGTACCCTAGTAACAAATGTCGGCCTGGCGCCGACATTACAGATCTCTAGGTTATTGTTTAAAATAAATTCTAGTAATTGCTCACCTCTGTTGTTGACATCCGTGCTACCCCAGATCACGTGATGTGCGTTGGCATCACATCCTATGATGAGGGGGATCTTGTTCGTCCGGCAGTGGTCTACTAGCCCGGGTATTCCTGGCGGTGGACAGGCCTCCTCCCCGGCAAAGTAGGCGGAGGCCACTGCTAGCTTCGGTGCAGCTTCTGTGCCGTCGATGGTTACGGCGACGCAGTCTCTGCTCATGAACTCTGAAAAGATACTATAGTTGATATCTTTCCTTATAACGATGCATGATCTGGGAGGTGATCCTCCTGGATCGCATATTACCTTAGTGTCCTTCGTGTACAGGCCTTTTATGCCATGGTGCCACCATGGCTCCTGTACAAGGGCTAGCCCGAGGTGTTGGGAGGTGAACATCCTCGCCAAGACAGCAGATGCTGCTTTGGCCCGATGGATGTTTACCTGGGCTAGCCGAGTGCTGCTTGATGCAGCCATCACTCCGAGGTTTGATGCTCCGTGAGGTCTGGTGAAGAGAGAGAGCAAGTCTCTCCACCACCGGCTATCACGGTCACCTCGGCTTCTTCGCAGCTTTCGTCCAGGAGGAGCTCCTGGGCCAGCTCTTGGGATGACATAGGGTGTCCATCCCCTTGGTCGTCCCCAATGTCCATGCTGGTGATGGATTGTTCATCCTGTTCACCTCGCTGTGACTTCGGCTCCACATTCGGTTGTTCGAGGGTATCCTCGACAGTCTTGCATGTGCCGTCATTGGGCGTCTCTTCCGGAGCTCTCTTGGTCTTTTTCAGACCGCTCACGGTGACGTGGCCAAACCGGAAGTTGAGTTTGTGGTCACGCTCCACTATCTCATCCCTTCCGGTCTGGTCCATCCCTACGACCAGGAGTGCACCAGCTCCGTCGTTCTTCCTGGAGATGACCTTCCAGGCGTCCGTCTCGACCCGGTTCTGGAAACCAATGAAGGCCAGTATTTCTTCATTGGTCCGGTCGGAGCTCCTCGGGCAGAACAACGTGGCGTTGTATGCTGCCGGGATGTCTGCTCCCGTGCGGGTCTCTAGGGGTACTCCCTTCCACGTCCGCAGCTGAGGTACGGCAATCTTGAGCCACTCAGCTGAGCCTTCATCCAGGCAGTCGATAATCAGGTAACCCACCCTGAAGTGGATTCCCCTGAACACGACGGGACCGCTCCACGCTGACGTGAGCATCTCGTCCATGACCGACTCCTGAAGCCCGGATAGTTCCTCTGCGGTCAGGCTGGCCGCCGGGAAACCTTCCGGGAGTATAGCCACCCTGATGAGGGTGGCTTTCTTGGCAGCCTCCGCGTAAGTCGGACGGGGTCCGATGACCGGCGGTGCCGAGCTAGAGGGTCTTCCTCCAGCGGTTGTCGGCTTCTGGTTTTGATGGGGCTGGGAAGGTATCTTCCTGGCCCGCACTTTGCCTTTACTGCCGCTGCTGCTGATGTGCTAGGCCCCTCTTGCTCAGGGACCCGTGAGGACGTCTCACTAGCCCCCGGGCCGTGCCTAGACCTTTTGGGGGTGTCCGTCGGTGGTGTGCGGCTGGTGTTCAGCCGTTTACCAACCGGTGCTGTCCCCAAAGCCGGCTGCTCCCTCGGCTCCTTTGCCTTCTTCAAGGCCTCCTCTGGTTTCATGCCCTGCATGAGGTACCTCAGGTACCACTTTACCTTTGACCCTGGCAGGCCACGCCTGTTGGGGTCGTCCAGTCCTCCAGGCTGTCCCAGGGCTGGAAGAGCGTCCTGCTTCTTCAGCTGCCTGATAGAGGTTGGCCTATCAGATGCGAGAGGTGGGCGTGCTGGCAGGGTAGCTCCTGCTGGCACCCCACGCTCCCTGGCTGGGAATGTCTGGGCTGCTGGTTTATTCCTAGGCGGGTGCGCTGCCGCCTGGGGTCTGTCGCCTTCGAGGGATCTTTCCTCAAAGTGTCTTGCGACACCGGTTGCAGGGATATCCTGCGGGATTTTTATTTCTTTGCTTCTTTTCATGTGTTCCCACGAGCTGCGGAGAAGTATGTGGTCCGCCCGGGCAGAGATCCGCTGTACCCGGGTAAGGCGTACTTAGGACAGGCGGTCGCCACTTGCCTGAACCCTCCGTTTGCGACTGGGCTATTTGTTAACTCGGGCCCCCAGCCAGGCTGACTATCGGCACGGGTCGAATGACACCTTAGTCCGGCACCGAGGTGAGATGTGGGGGATAGGATGGAGGTGGGTAGTCGTGAGGGAGGGGGTGTGTAAGGCTACGGTGTTAAGACGGCCAAACAAGCGTCTTGTCGGTATACCTCCATCGGTATACCCGCTGTTTGTCCGGGGTTGCTTATTTGCTTACGCTTATTCGCAACTAACCTTCCCAGAAGGTCGTTCGCTATCCGCAACCTGCGACCCGCCTGGTGGCCCCAGCTAAGCCTCCCTTCGAACCATCCCACTAGTTCTTGAGGACCAAGCTAAGGTATATAAGAAAGTAAAGAAGCCAAGAAGAAAGTAAGGTATATAAGAAAGTAAAGAAGCCAGAGAATCATAGTCCAAATAATGTAGTAGAGAAGGAAGCCAAGACAAGTGGCAAGCTTGAGCAAACTTCCCAGCGAATTCGGTTTGCTCAGCGGAGCGGAGTGGAGCACCCTTCAAATTGGGGGGCAGGTGGGGAAGGCGGGCTCTTGGCTAACGGCAGCAGCTGCAGTTTGGCTGGCAATTGATGTTGATGTCGCGGGCGCCAAAATCGACACACTTGTCCCAACTGCAACTGCAACTGGAACTGCAAATGCAACTGCAACTGGCAGCCGAAAGTGGCAGTCGTAGTCGTCGTCGTCGTCTGGAGCCCAGAGTACAGGTTAAATGGATCACGACTGCACGGATTCGCTGTCCGTCTGAATCGGAATCCGCGTCTTCGAGACTTGGAGTCTTGGAATATCCGTCCGTTCGTCGGCGCTGTCTGCCGGCCATAAAATACGCGACATGCAAACGTTTTTGATGCAATGAGGCGGTCGAACGAAATTAGGAGATTGTGTAAAGACTCTCGACTGACAAGCCGAAGTGTTCCCGGCCGCCTGTTTCCCTGGTCTTTAACAAGCATACTCTGCAAAGGAAACTCTAATTTGGATTTTGAAAATTAAAAACATCATATGCAAATTTATTTTAAGTTCATAACCATTTCTAAAGCATACTACGCATTCTACATTGACACACTTCTCATTGATAAATTCTTGATAGTAATATTAAGTTTTTTATAACAATATCATTTCAACCAATGGGTTATTTGTTCGTATTGCAGCAAAACATTTATATATCAGACTCAAAGCATGGAATTCTTCTTATAAATTTGCTTTGGATTTGCCTTAACTCTTAAGCTAGCTCACTTTTAAAATGAAAGACTGTTGCCAAGGGTATCGAAATCTTCGGCTTATTAAATTAGTTTTGCCCTGCCTTGTTTAAGGCTGGTAGTTTGGCTCAGTTTGCGGTTCATTTACGATGCTCATTAGGCATTGGCGGCCATAAAGTGGCCCCACCATTTTGGCCATTTTGTTAACCGAATCACACAATTGGCTTTCCTAACCGTCTAACCGTCTCTGTGTCTTCCCCTCTTGCAGCGAGCACTTCGCATGGGAGCAGCAGCAGCGGCGGCTCTGGCAGCTGTAAATCCTCGTCGGCCACCAAAGCGGCTGGCTACAGCAATGGCAAGCTGGGTGGATGTGGATCCTCCGGCTCCGGCTCGTCCTCGGTCTTTGGAGCGGGCTCAGCCGGTGCCGCATCGTTGGGGGCCTTTGCCCGCCAGCAACATCAGCAGCTGCAGCAGCAGCAGCAGCACCAGCTGCAACAGCATCAGTCGACGCAGCAGCAACAACTTTATGCCTCCGGTGTGTCCAAGTTGCCATTCTCGCCGTTCTTCGCGGCCTCGCCATTCTTTTTCACCTATCGACGGATCAGCGGCAACGGCAGTGGCAATGGCAGTGGCGGCGGCAAGCAGGAGGACAACAACAACAGCTGCAGCTACAACAACGGCAGCAACAGCGGCAGCAGCGGCGCGGGATCGGCGGCGAACAGCATGCAGGACTACGACCGCAAGTTCTCGCTGCTGAGCCTGTTCAAGAACCCCTACAAGTTCGGAGATGGCCAGGCCGCGAGGAAGTCCTCGTCGTCGGGCGCATCCAGCAAGTCCATGGCCTCGGGCGGCTGCTCTTCCTCCTCGCCGAGCTGGAAGAGCTACGCCGGCTCGGGATCACCACATGCCGCCCTCAATCCCGCCTTCGGAGGCATGGCTCTGGGGGCGACGCGCAAGGACAGCAGCAGTTTCAGTGGGATTAACTTTGGCGGTGGCGGAGGCTCCGCATTCGGACGATCCTCCTCCGACTCGACGGCCAACGGCGGCTACAATGATCTCTCCAAGAACCGCAAGGTACACAAGTGCGACACCGAAGGATGCGACAAGGTGTACACGAAGAGTTCGCACCTCAAGGCGCACAAGCGAACGCACACAGGTGAGATGCAGTTGATTTAATTTTAGTCAAGCAATTTTTTACGCTTATCAAGCATTAATTTATGCGATTAATAGAAACAAGAAAGCTGATCTCATGTATGCTACAGAAAATCCTAGGTCAGTCTTTTTTCATTTTCATCGGTACCGAGAAAACAGTTCATGTCTTTGCACTAAACATTTTTGTAAAGGATTTTTTTTTATATTTTGTATATTTTATATATTTGTTATGTTTACTTTTTTACAACAATTACAAAGTTGTGTGCTGTTCGTTTCTTAAAACCAAATATACAATTGTTAACCAATCATTAGAAAAAATATTTAAGAACATTCATTTTCATTTCGATAGATCAATTTCTCGTTGAGTTATGATGTATCAACTTTCAAAATGTATTCTCGGGAAAAACACGTTTAAAGTTTAAGGTTGAGCGGCTTCAATTAAAAATAATTTAAGATTCTACCTGATTTATAAGATATTTTAAAAAGTAAAACCTATCGAAAAAGCGTAAAATCGATTTTTGGTAGTACTACACTAGTAATGCCCCTTAAGTAGATTTATAAACATTGAGCCTTTTAAATGGCTATGGCCCCTTAAAAGGATATATTTTGTGGTTTTTCTCAGAATTTTTGTGTCATCCAAAGTAAAGGTACACTTATTTCAATGAAAATGACAAATCAAAAGGACAAACATTTGTTTTTACCAAACTAACCGGAAAACATCCAATCTTTTGCAGGTGAAAAGCCTTACGTGTGCACGTGGGAGGGCTGCATCTGGCGCTTCGCCCGCTCCGATGAGCTGACTCGGCACTACCGGAAGCACACGGGCGTGAAGCCCTTCCGCTGCCAGCTGTGCACCCGCAGCTTCAGCCGCTCGGACCACCTGTCGCTGCACATGCGCCGCCACTGAGGACTTGGAACTGCCCGTCTGGCCATACATACTCGTACTCGTAATCGTACTTGAACTTCAACTCGAACTCATATCCGAGAATACTCATCTGAGATGCTGCGGGGAGCAGCTCTTGATTATTTATATGCACTCGAACCACTTCCATTGATCATTTACGGAGACCAGATATTCCATGTCGCTTAAGTAGCTCAATTTAGACCTTAAGGGGGCTCAAAGCCCAACTTAGACGTAGTTAAACTGTAGTTACAGGGCGGAAAGATTTGTAAAATTTTTCACCTTTTAAGCCCAGACGACAATTGCCTTCAGAAGCCAAGTTAACAAAGTGGATTTTAACCTACTACACATAGAAATATCTGCATAGTTAAATATACATATACATACAGATAGTTTTGGATTGGTGCTAGCAACTTGCGTGTACATAGATCTAGATAAACATTTACAGCCTAGTTCGGTAAGAAGAAATTTAACTAATTTTAGATCAAATTTTTATTGGTTATTAAGTAGAAAATTTTATACAAAATCCATACGAAAGAGGCAAAACAACCGGAAGAGCCAAGCAAATCAATATTTATATAAATATATATAGAAATTCTCTCATCTGAAAGGTAATTAAAACATTTTGTACTATACGCATATGATGTGATAGTTGATGAGGATTTTGAAAAAAAAGAGGGGATCGGCAAGGAAAGTGTTGATTGGCTAGACATATGAAACTAAAACTGACTTTTTTATATAGCTTACAATACGCAGATCATTTTATACCTTTGAAATACTGGAAATAAAAAAACAATCTTTTTTACAACTTACTTAAAACTATTTTTCTTTAAGAATACACTTAATAGCAGTTCTTTAAAAGCCTTTTAGCATTATAAGAATGTTAACACTCAAAGAAATTCTGGTTTTACTCAGTAGAGATACCTATGTATACATTTCAAACTGCCTTATAGCTACGGAACGCACTGTATTCCCTGGCGAACCCCGAAAGCAATTTGCCTCATACCAACTGTCATCATAGATTTTAGCACACTCGCAGACAAACACAATAAAACACAAAAAAAACACAACACACAAAGGCAAAACAAATTGTATTATTTTTTGAGAAATAAAAGAAAAGCGAATACTTTTTTGTACCAAACGAAGCCTTGGCCGTGCTCATTACGGGATCGCTGGCCAAATCCGCGGAGCATTTTCATTTGAATGAAAAATCAATTGGCGCACAATGGGGCTGCGGCCAAACGTTAACCCACAAGTGTGCCCCCGGGGTTCCCGATCCTCCCCCCTCCGATCCCCGATCCGCCAGCACTGAGATGTGTGGCAAGTTGTCAGCGACTGCCGGCCGCCTTTTGCTTTGGCTCTGACTGTGGCTCTGGCTCTGGCTTTTGTGGCACGGCACGCACTCCCCGCCAATTGCAATTGTCCAGGGGAGCATTGTCGTCGTTTGTCGTTTTGCAACTTTGCAGCGTACAACTGCGCGTTGTTTGCAATAATAAAGATGACAAATTTCTCGTCATTTGTAATTTCAATGCGAAAAGCCGGAGCTGGGAGCTGGTAGCTTGGAGCTTGGAGAGCTTGGAGCTGGAATCTTGGGCCTGGCAGCTGGGCTAATACGCATAACTGGTTGGCTAGATGGCTTGGCCTGGCTTGGATTGGATTGGATGACACCTGCAGCGGAAATCAGTGCATGAATAACGCTCTCGGTCATTAAGGCACAATTGTGAAATATTACGCATACGCCATGGCAATTTATTGGTAAATTAATAACCGAATACAAGGCAGCCGACAGTAGCGACTACTGCTACTGCCGTTTTCTGCTCCCAACTGCGCTTGGTGGTGTTGCCGTCACCGCGTTTAGCATAAAGGTTAGACAAATATAACAGACCGGTTTTTTGGGTTAATTAATATGCCTTGGGTCAGGTCAATATTGCGGCGACTGTCGGTTGCCGGCTATCGGCTGTGGAAGATGCTGGAGGATGGATATGAATGCCAGCGGCTGGTGGGCTGGTGAGGTCAGGTTTAATGACCCAAACGCATATGCAAATGAGTAAAAGTAAATAAAGTGAGAAGGTGCCTTAATTAACACTGATCGACGCTCCGTATGCCCTGCAGCAGCCATTAAGCAAAACCCTTTTGTGTCGAGGTAATCCCAAGTTGGGGATTTACCCATGGGAAAAGCGGTAGTGAAACGACATGAAATTGGTGGAAAGAAAGGTAAGTAATTTATTATCACAGATCATGTAATTTCATATTTTTGAGTGGTGCAAGCCCACACTTAAATACCCCTCTGATTTCAGAAATATAGCTGATATTGCGATGTTAATTTATTCCATTATAAACTATCAGACATCATAAAAAGCAATCGTTTGCTAATATTTTATGAGTCATAAGCCGTGATTTCATTAAATCGCACATACCCCATGCCACCCAGTGGACAAATATCAACTGAATACATTTAGATAAGCATTGAAATCACAGCGGTGCTCATTAAAAACCAATAAAGTCGCGTTGCTTTGCAGCCAGCTAGCGCTGTCCATCAATCGGAGGAGCAGGTTGGAGGTTGGATGATGGGGCTCAGGCGATCTGGGAGCGGGAACTACATACATATGTGTGGCTCAGGCTGTCGGCAGCTGTCCATCAGACAAAAAAACGCTCCAATAACCAAATCGACCGGCCACCAATTGAAGGAGTCTCAAAGCTGGCGATTTTCAGTTAGCAGCCTGGATCTTTTGCCGAGTTTTGAGTTAGGCCTCGCATCCACATCCACCAGTACACAGAGAGTAATTTAGTTTGATATGGATTTTATAGAGAATAAAATATCATGTTATATTCCAGTTAGTTATAGGTAAAATAAAAGTGGATTTTATGAATAATGTAAATAATGTTTAACAGAAGTAGAAGAAAATAAAAGTTACAAAAATATTTTACTAACATTTATTAGGTTATTTTCATACTTCTTGAACTTTACTTTACTAAATTCAGCTGCAATGAAATGTAGCAAAAATGTTTTCGGTGCACTTAGCCATCGACATTCATTTTTAATTTATTGTTATGCCTTTCTGCTGCCTTTTGGCTGCTGCAGATGCAGTTCGAGTTGCAGAAGGATGGAGTTGGAGCTGGAGATGGAGATGGAGCAGTGCGGCAGTTGCGGAGCAGCTTGGAGCTGCTGGTCGTCAGGTCATGTGCAATTTATGAAACGGCTTTGCATTGGCCGCGGCCTGATTTTTGAGACACATTTGGATTTGGATGACTGTCGCAACGACGGCCACTGCGGCAACTGCGGGCTGCCGCTTCTGTCCGTTTGATTTGTGATCGATTGTGTGTCGTTAGTTTGCGACATGGGGCATGAAATCTTTGACACCTAACGGTAAACGAACGGGCCGCGAGACCTCGGATCACAGCAGTGGGTGCTCCAGCCCCCTTGATGCCCTGTCCCCCTCCCCACCCCCCATCAAGCCATCCCCTTACCCGGCATTAAATTGGAACGATGATGCCGGGGCAGCAGTTGTCAGTTGGCCAAAGTGTTTGGCAGTTTTGCCATTTATTTTACAGGTGAGTGAGCATAATGGACAGTTGCCCGTCGCAGCAGTTGCAAGTTGCAAGTTGCCGGCTTGTTGGCTGGCTTTCTGGCTTTCTGGCTTTCTGGCTTGCTGGTTACCGGCTGGCGGGTACATGCTGTGCGCTTTGGCTCAATTAAAAATGGAATCGTCTGGAGGAGGTCGCCTCATTTGACAATTGCCGGGTCCCAAATACAGGCAAATAACCGTTTGGGCCTGTCTTCGCATGGCTTTCTTCCACTTACCCCGCCAATTTCCAGCCCCTCATCCCGCGCATCGCCTCTATCCGGCTGTCGCTCGCAGTCCCATGTTTAATTTTGTTAAGCAAAAATGCTGGAAATTAAAATTCCCATCACACCATAAAACCCATAAATCATCTTTTATCTAAGCGAGTCTATCGGCGCATGTGAGCGCGCGCCAACTTCGGTTCGGGTTCGTTCAGGAAAAACAACAGAAAACCACCAGCGAACGTGGCCGTGTGTACGAGATGCTGCCTGGACGCGATTGGGAACCTGCTCGGACCTCTCCAGCCTTAATGAGAATTTAATATTTTTCAATAAAAATTTGTAAAAGGCGCGTTAGCTGCTTGTCCGCCATCGGGCTCCGAAGAGGCTCCTCTCACCGGCCCAAAACCACCCGTTTCGGTGGGGGCGTCCACGCGGTGGGGCAGTGCACATTTGCCATGTGTGTCTTGGCTATTAACGCACTTTTGTTTGTGGCCATTGGCCATTGGGCATTGGGTAGTGGGCATTGGCCGTGGCCTGGCTATGAAAGACTGCGCCGCTGGTGAGTCTGCGGCCCGAAACGATGATTGCCGGCTGAAAATGTTGAGGCAGCGGCAGCGGCAGAGGCAGCTGCAGCTGCAGAGGCAGAGGCGTAGGCTGCTAGAAGGGGGGCGGTGCAAAACAGGGGTCTTTAAGGTGGTTCTAACTACTTTTATGATCCTGTACGTACCATGTTGTAATTGTGGGTATTATATTTATATTTATCGCTTGTTTTGCACTCATTGAAAGGAGGTTCTTGTTAATAAAAATTTGATATATGGTATTTGAAAAGACAGTTAAATTTTTCATTAAGTTTAATAGTTATGGTTTTACGGTAGTTCTACTTAGTAAACAATTTATATTAATCTGTAGAAAAAAAAATAAAGTTAGGATGCCGTTTTGTACGTTACACTAAAGACTATGTCAATTTCTTTTAAAAATTCTCTTTTCCAAAGAAATACATTTTCATAACAATAAATACGAAATTACAGATGTCTTCAAAATTGTAGCTCTGCTGCATGTGTAAAGTAACTTATTTTAACTATGAGCTCATTCTTAAAAATTGAGAACTTACTTTTTTAGAAATTTATGTTTGTTTCAAGATGGATTAAAGTATAATATGTGATTGAAATTGTTTAGATGTTATTTAGTACATTTTTTTGAACCTTCATATTCGTCGATTTAATTTTTTTTTGGTTAAGACTTAGTAGGGGTGCGGCTATTTTTAACCCTTTTTGGTTCGAAGACACAGCCTCTGTTCGATGTCCTTTCTATCTTTTTGTTTATTGTGTGTAATTGTGGCTTGGCTTTTTTGTATCCTTGCCCTAGACCTTCAAGCAGTTACAGGCCTATTTTTGTTTGCAGATCGAAGATCTTTGTTTATGTGCCTCTTTCCCAGTTCCAGTTCTACTCCCAGTTTTTATTCCCCTCCAAAGTCGAAGTCCCTGTCCAAGGAAAGGCACACATTGCATACGAAATTAGTTGCTTAAGTTAATCTGAGCGAGCGTAGAAACCAGGAGGGATGTGAAATGCGGGACTCGGCCAAGAGTGTCAATTGTCAGTGGCTGTCGCCGTTTAGACGTCTTGGCTGGGTCGAGGGCTTCTGGGCCAGGTCTGCAGCAACGTAGAAGTGGGCCTAAAGACCCAGCCCATCGTTGGCGGCGCGTGCAGACTGTGGGCCTGTTTTAATATGCCAACAATGACAATCAGCTGTCACCTCTGGTGCGCCATGTGTCTAGAGTCTAGAGTCTAGACGCCAGACCGTGATCCCGACTGCGGGCCAAAAGAAATTGCATGCAACAACCTGAGCGATTGCAGACTGGGCGCTGATTGTGGCAGCAACAACATCGCACTGCCAGCAACAACAAATAAATATGTCATTTGGCTCATTATAAAGATAGCAAAAGTCTCTTTCTCCCTGACCAGAACTGAGCTTGCAGCTATCTGCACCAGCAACTGGCAACGTGCAACATGCAGCATACAGCATACAGCATGCGGCGTGCCCCCAGAGCTGCTGCGTCACATTTAAACGTTTAATGATAATTTATGAATGTTGTTGTTTTTTATTGCAACAACAATGCCGTAAACCAATAAATCTTAAGGATCACATAAATCTTGGCGCTAACTGAGACGGCGACTGCAGCGGCAGCGCCAGCAACATCAACATCAACAGCAACAGCAGCAACGTCCGCAAAACAGAGCAACTTCCACTCAAAACTTGCCACAAATCGCGGAGAACCATTGACCAATTGGCCAAAACTGAAAATACCCTAATAATCG